GGAAGATGCTAGGAAGATGGAGGCAGCCTCCTCTGAGGTGCACAGTGGAGGGAAAAGAGGCAGCAGAAACAGTCTACAACGAGAAAGTTCTGATCAGATACTAGGAAAAAAAAAATTCCCTATGAAGATAGCAAGGAGTGCAACAGATTGCTGCGAGAGTTAACAGAATCTCTGACTTTGGAGGTATTCTGAACTTGTTGGGGTATGAGCCTGAGTAGTCTCATCTACCCTCAGAGTTGGATCTAACTTGGAAGATGACTTTGCTGTGAGTAAGGGTTTAGATCAGATGACCTCCAGGGGTTCCTTGCAACTCACATTATTTGATGGTGCTATGATCTGGTTGCTGTTTGTGACAGAGTTCTAGAAAATGACTTGTAGATTTTTGTGGATATAAAAAATGCCAGTGGTGTTGGAGACATTGCGATATGAAAATAGTACTTGCTAGGGTTACATTTCGGGACTTTGTAGGATAAATTTGCATTGCCAAAGACTTGAAAAATGTTTAATCAGAATTAATTTTTATACTGAGTCTTGTTACGGTATCTGTGGCTGCAAAGCCAGCGTTGTTCTTTAGTACTATTTAGCAAATTTGGATGCTTGAATTTAAGAAAAGTAAAGCAATTGATTTATTAAATTATTAGCAGCTTCTCCTAAAGTCCGACATAGCAACTGATGTCCACTAGAAAGACTGTCGGGTATATGTGGACCGGAAATCTTGGCAGGATGGACAGATTCTACTTAGGTAATTCTACCTCAGTAATTCTACCTCAGTAGTGAAACACTTCCCCAAAAGACCACTGCTTTGCCCAGAATTCTTTCTAACCTGGAGCGAAGAAGGGTGAACCTCAAGTTACCTAAGAACAATATAAACCTGAAATACTTCTATCAAGTATTTGAGATTTGGAGGTTTTCATGGGCTGCACCTGCTTTGCAAATAAGCAAATAGATACTTGTTTACCTATCTGTCTGGAATGATCTCTTTAAAAAGGTCAAGATCGTAGTTTATTGCACTGTCAACCAAATTGTTAAGCAAAGATTGCAAAACAGGGTATCAGTTCAGTTGATGGGAGAGAGAGTCCACTGGGGACAAATTTAAAATAAAATTCTTCCTATTCTATTTTTAATGGTTGGGTGTTACCACTGCTTGACTTGATATGCAGTTACATGAATTAGATATGCTCTAAATTATGCAAATGAAATCTAGAAGAGGTTTGTGTTTGGGTTTTTTTTTCCTAACCCCTTTTCCTCCTGCCTGATACCGTACAGGTGTGTGCTAGTCAGTTTTCTCTCTTCTGCTCATCTCTAACTGCGGGGACAGTGGCTCAGGCTGGCTCACTTAACAAAACTTTAGGCCTCAGGCTAAACCTGAACCACTGTCCCCGCATCTAACAAGTTTTGTTGCCTCTCTCTGATTTCCGTTTTCCTTATGCTGTGGCTGTTGTCAAACAATACAAATAAGCTCAGTAGTCCCGAGTGTATCATTAGCTATGTAATGTGATTCGCTCCCATAAGGAATGGGATACCAGAAGTATCTTGATTGTCTGGGAGTTATGTATAGGCCTCTTTTTTTTTTTAAAAAAAAATTTTTTTTTTATTCCCCCCACCCCCGATAATGCGTTTCTCTTGTCCCTGAAAAGTCATACTTGAATTGTGTAACTTTTAGCAAGGGTTGCAGAGATGGAAGGGTAAATGAAGGGCAATCAGGGGAAAAAGTCAGAAATAATGTATTTGTTTGTGGAAGCCAGTTTTGCTTTTTACATGGAAAAAGAGAAGGGTGAGTTGCGTGTGTGTGCATATAGGGTGGCAGTGGGGAGTATTTGGTTTGATCTGTTCCCTAACTTGGTTTTGATCCTTGACTTCTGAAGATCTCTGAGATTTTTGAATATATGAAATGTAGTGGTGCAGTTCAAATAACGTGCTGTTAGCGGAGAACTCTTCAAGTCTACTTTTTTGCAGTTGGCAATGTGAGCAGCAGTTTGGCTGCTTTCTGTATAGTTCCACACGTCTTTACAAACCTGGAAGAAGTGTTGTTCAGGATAAAATGATGGTGTGACATTTGGCATGAGACAGTCTCCTTAAATTTTTTTTTTTTAAATATTGAAAACTTTACTCATTTAAATTACCGTGGATGTGTATACCTGAATACAGGGCTATAATGTGTCATTAAAAAAAAGTAGCAAAACCCCACAAAACAAGTCCTTGAGACACACACACCATTAGCAAATCTGTTGCTGTTGATGTATTTTTTTACTCTGTTCCTCATCCGAGAACTTGGTTTTCCCAGCAAACCCAGCAGGTGGCAGCAACTGTTCGTTGAACACAGATTGTATGGTATTTCTGAATGCTTCTCTGAAAACAGAGACACTTTTTTGCATTGAGCTTTTATTTAATCTTGAAACAGTGCTAAAGAGAGAAAAGAGCAAAAACTCAGAGTATCAGCAGCCTGGATTCTGAATCTTGGAAAGGGCAAGCAGGACAACCACAAAATATTCAGGATATCAAAGATAAAAAATGAAAACTGACTTTTATTATTTTAAAGGTTAATTTTGAGGTCTTCTCTTTCAAGATTGTCTTTTGCTGTATAGCCAGATTCCAGTTACCTGGAAGAAAAGGCACATCATCCTGTATGTGGGTGAAGCAAGTCTTGCATCTTGGAAACTTCTGTGGAGAGGATTACTTGTTTGCTGAGCCTTTAGTGAGATGGAAGGGGCAAACAAGTATTTTGGCACTTTGTGCTCACATGAATGAGAGGGTCAGATAAGCTTGGGGACTTCTGTTTTTCCTTTGCAGAAGGGCTGTATGTGGGAAGGAGCATCTGCTGCTGCCTTGTGGGGGAACTGGGAAATAGCTGAGTTTAGGTTCTGTGAACAGAAAGTAGGAAACAGAAAGAACAAGATACATGGCTTCAGTGCCTGCAGTAACAGCACCAGAGTTCCTCCTCCAGAATGAAGTACCAAAGCAGCTGCCTGAAAAGCTTTCCCACCACCTTTCCCAGTTCTGAGAACTGGATCTCCCCAGGGACAGAGGCCAGCTCAGGCACACAGTGTATGCCGTCTCGTTTTGTTCATTTTTTTTAGTGCAGGCCAGAAGCTTGATGTTTTCACCATTCAATTGACTGTATAGTTAAACTCTTAAACTAAGATTATGAATACATTTGGAACTGGAACAGAACTTTTCCTGTACTTTTCCAAGACAGAAGTGCTAGCAGTGTCTGTTGTCTCAGTAGCTTTACTCTTGATTTGTCAAGACTGCACTTGGTTGTTTTGCTCTTCACTGAGTCCGTTCTTAGGGCTTATGTCAGCGTAGTTATTTCAGCCAGGGATCCCATGTCTTGCAGTCTTTTTTGACAAACGTATGTAAACAGTGAGGCCTAGGCAAATGAAATTGAGATGATGTCTTCTCACATATTGTGCCTCTTTTTTAATTTATTTTTTATTTTTCTCACTCCCTTTGAATAGAGAAGGTTCATGCAGAAGTTGAAGCAGTTCTAGGACGTGACAAAGTTCCCTCTCTTACCCACAAGGCTCAAATGCCCTTCACAGAGGCAACCATTATGGAAGTGCAGAGGATGACTGCGGTTGTTCCCCTTTCTATCCCTCGAATGGCCTCAGAAACTGCTGGTAAGCACGTGCAGACACTTGTTAATACGGCACTTCTTTTGCGGATGGGACATCTAGTGAGAATTTACAAAGACCTCATTTATGTGTTAGACATGTAACCCAGGTATGTAAAATGCCATTTACAGAGAGTAGGTGGGCTTGAGACACTCCTCTACATAAGAGCATGTCTGACCTAACATCCAATTCTAATTTAGAGCCATTTCTTTTCTGGGGGTCACCTGGTGTTGCCTGATGTTTTTAGTGGTAGTTGGCAGCTGAGCCTCCACCTTTGTACCTGAAACAGCAGAGTTGGTTTTGGCCACCTGACACAGAGGTCTGAAAACATCAGTTTGGAGCAATTGGTTTGCTAAAGCTTGAAAGGCTTATACTGTTGAGCTCCACACCTACAGAAAGCAGTAATAAATATCCTCTTGCAAGTGGTCTTTGGCTGTATGTTTTTATAAATATAGCTGAACACTGGCTGAAGTGAGTGGGAGGTAGCAATGCTTGGCTTTCAAACCCACTACTGAATTGATCTGCTTGTTTTAATGTTTTGGCTTGCAGGACAGTGAGGTGCAACAAGCCGAAATGAGATTAGTTGCTTCAAAACCCTTTTGATGTAACAGTTCAAAACCCTTCCCTCTTCCTTGCCTTCACCTTCGCTGTGGTAGGGCCCTGTGGCAGCTCAGGAACAGGAGGAAACTGGGTCACAGCGCTTCCATGCAGCAGAGTGCGTTTCTAACGATGGTTGCTGCCTTTTCCCTGCAGGGAGCTGTTGGTGTAGCAGCTGCTCTGGCCTGCATGATTCTGACCCAGGCAGGCTAGCAGAGGTCACCTCTGCCTTAAGCTCCTACTGTGTTTGCAGCTCGCAGCCAGGGATCTGTATCATTTTTGTGACACCACCTAGCTGTCTTTTTAATAAGTCTCCCATGTTTATTTCTAGCAACTTGCCAGATCCTCTGTCTCTGTGCTTTTGTTTGAAGTGCTGCAGGGATATACTATTCCTAAGGGCAGTGTGATCGTGCCAAACTTGTGGTCAGTACACAGAGATCCTAACATTTGGGAGAAACCAGATGAATTTCAACCATCAAGATTTCTGGATGAAAATGGCCAGCTAATTAAGAAAGAGGCATTCATTCCTTTTGGAATGGGTAAGATATCCACATGCTGTCGGTAGCTGGCTGGGGGTGGTGGTGTTTCCAGTGTAGCGCCTTGGAGGTGTCAGCTGTGAAAGTTGTGCATAGATCAGCGACAGAACTTGTTACAGTTGATGGATTGCAAAATGGGTTGGGTTCCTAGCAGCTGCAGTTGCCAGGCAGAAATGAGAAATGGTGAATCGTTCTTTGATGGTACTTCAGGTGTGGATGTAAATGCTGTTGGTGTCAAGCGGTATAGCTGGGCAAGGCTTAGACTCAAATAGAGGAGAGCAAAGCTTCAGGGTTCATAGGTTAATAGTAGCTGGAGCCTTTCTGTGTTTGGGCTGTGCTAGCACAGGAACTGCATGTGTGTGAACAAATGGATCAACAGTATAAAACCAGTAATACGTCTCTTCTAACTATTCTTTAGGTAAGCGTGTGTGCATGGGAGAGCAGTTGGCAAAAATGGAGCTGTTCTTAATTTTTGCAAGTCTAATGCAAAGTTTTACCTTTTTGTATCCTGAAAATGCTGCAAAACCATCTATGGAGGGAAGATTTGGTCTAACTTTAGCTCCATGTCCGTTCAATATAATAGCTTTGAAGAAATGATAAAACATCAAAAAAGATTAAAGAAAGAAATACCACACTTTTAAAATCAGCTTTATTTTGTTTCCAGCTTGTTTTGTTACTTTCTTTCCAGAAAACACCAACTGCGCAGACTTTCATAGTCAGTGAGAACAATCCATTTGCACTTCTGGAAAGAGAAGGTTTTTTTGTTTTTTGTTTTTTGTTTTTTGTTTTTTTTTTTACAAGCTGTTGCATTCCACAAATGAACTGACAGCATAGTTTGCAATTTGATATTAAGACTTGCTGGGCTTAACCCCTCTGTCTATAAGTTATTACTGTCAGTTAGTCAAATATTAATTATGGGAGAATGGTCCAAAACATCTGTTAATTCTTTAGCAAACAGTAATGGTTATTTTGGTAAAAGCAATACGTAAACATTTAATTTACCAAATGAGCGAAGGACATCATCTAATACCAAAGGGATTAAAGAATGAGAGGGTATTAGCATTTTCTGTGTAAAGAAACATTATAACTGAGCTTAAATAATAGCAAGTACTTTTTGGAAATAACAAAACGACACTTCTTTTAATTTTGGAGGGTTCTTTTCTTGCAAGTAACTCATAGGTGTCGATTGGATCGAATCAGTCTGGATTCCTGGATCCAAACATTCTTGACTATCAGGGCTCACTATAAACAAGCAGGTACCAACTCTGAAAACCCAGGCTTGGGGGCCAAATGAATCCTTGAATATACCGTGTTCCTAACATGAAAGGAGTGTGCAGCATCTCAATGCAGATGTTTTATCTCAGAATATCAACAAGAGTAGATTTCTCTAAGAAGAAACAGAAGTCTGTTCTCTCTGGTGCCAAAGCAGATATTTAAGATGACATCTGCACTGCCACTTCACCTTTGCTCTCCTCCCCACGTCAGCAGTGGCTTCAGTCTGGACGAGACCAGGAGCCTGCTCATCGGGGAAAACTCCACGTGCATAATCCTGAAGCTGGGGCTTGCGTTCAGGTTTTTCATTTAGAGGCAGTGTGGGCAGTGCTGCACAGCCTGTTTGGCTTTGGGAACTGGAGTCTTGCTTCCAACACGGCATCAGTACGGCGCTACAAATGTAGGTCTCGCACATTTAGGCATGGAACATGAGGAATCTGACAAACTTGGGGTTTGAGTATAAGGGCTTTCTCTTTGTTATCTTCCATACGGAGTAAAAAGATCTGTTGTTCATACAATTTCAGTGTATCAGTACCTTACTCTCTCCCATGCGAAATTTTAGTGCTGTTTGCCTCTACCAAGGCAATTGGCAGGGAAACCTATTGTTAGGTGTTCTGGAAGGGGGCACTCGATCTCGCCTTTTATTTGAAAGATTGCTCAAACACGGAAAGCAATCTTTTGGGGGATGTGTAGCAATTAACCTTTAAGTAATTATTCTTAATCATACTTAAATCTCTTTTATACACTTTTTGATCTAGTGGAATTTCCTAGCACATGAAATAAGTACTTATGTACGCTTTTGAGGAACTATCCCCCCCCCCATTTGAGATCTAGGCAATACTAGCAGTCCTCCTGATGGCAAGTTGACAAGAGTAGGATTATGAAACTGACTGTAAAGTGGAATTGGGCGTTCCATAGCAGAAACTAAACCTACATTGTAAAAGGAGAATCAACTCCTCTGGTTTTGTCACTTTTTAACTTGAAGTTTTAGAAGCCAGGTAGTGCCTAGCAAAGACTGACAGGTGGTTATTTTGGGTTTCAATACAGGTTTTCTGTTACCTGTTTTGAATAACAGAGTGGCTTAATTTCTGGATGATGTATTTGGTTGGCCAGGTACCCCACTGTTTTTGTGTAAGAACTTCCAGTTCTTATATAGGCTAACTTTTGACTTTATAGGTTAGCCCATGCTTGTGTTAAATTTTTTCTTTGTATGAAATTTTTGAAAACCCCATAGCACAATAAAAAGCTGTGTTTGGTACCAATGCTAGTAAACTTGCACTAAAGCTGATGTTACTGGAGTAATAAGCACTTATTTCTTTAACTTTATTTTTTCTAATGAATAGATTCTGTACAGTTGTGATTTTTGTCTGGAAGTCCTTAAAATGGTATATGCCTAATTGCAAAGCTAAAATTAAGTGCTGATAATGTTTGTCTTTCTGTTGAAATGCCTCTTTAAGCAACATAATGATGTTGGTGTGCAACTGATCGCTTCTGTAAAATACCTGTCCTTTAATCAATGAGGACACATTTGAAAAGCACTTTAGTATTCTTTTTACAGATTCCAAAGAAGACACAATTCGCATAATCCCCTAGTATGTGAAAGTGTACATATTTGTGCTTGTTTTGCCTGCTGGGTTTAGTTTAAAATGTCACCTTTGAAAACTATCCTTCAAAAATTATCCTTCTATGAGTAGTACTTTGAGGTGCAGTTTTTGATGATACCTATAATCGAATGCTGCATGGTACAACACACTGAAAATACTGATGTGAAGGAGCAACCATGTCGGTGTCTGCCAGAGTGCAAGATGCTGTTGGAAATGCCAATAAAGACCTGCCTTTCATGCCTTCCAGGTGCACTGAAATTTCCACAGGATGCCATGAAAGTAGCTAAACAATAGCATAAAAGCAACAAAATGTTTGTGGTTTCAAAAGTGTGTGGCCATCTTTGGTAAACTGTAAGGAAAGTGGTAGCAGATGTGATTTGTGTTTGTAAATGTATCCTTCCCCTCCCTTTTTTTAGCAGAGGAAGCATCTCAAATGCCTTATTGAAAAATGTGTGCTTATGTAAGTGGATGGCTATTTCTGAATGCTGAAAATGTCTTTGTTTCTAAAAAGGACTTCAGACTTTGCTTGAGTGTAATTTTATTTTTAATAAAGTAATTCCCAAGTAAGTGTGTGACAGCTTTGCATAGTCATTTTACTGTGTTCCACTCGTTGACTAAGCTTGTGGTGTTTGGTGTTTTGTGACATGCAAAGAATGCTTTTGAGTGAGATGGTGTTACGAAATGTTCTGGATGAGGGGTGAAAGGCGGTGGAGGAATGAAGTGAAATTGGGAAAATACAATGCCAGGCATGTTATGATGAAATGATAGAAACAGTATGTTTTAGAAACACTGTTACTTGGAATAAAAGGAGAGGGAAGAGATGAGGAAGCTAAAAGGGCGAACGAGTTGCCACCAGGAGGAGATGCACAGTCTGAGGAATGAGGTGGGGAAGAAAACCGCAGGCAGAGCCGAGGTGTGGTTTGGTTGGACTCCTGGCATGGAGGGGTCAGAGAGCAGAGGGCAGAAAGGGAGGGAAGCAGGTGCCCAGGGAGAGCCTGGGGTGTTTTGTTTTGCTGGGGCCTCTGGCCCGGGGGGAGCCCGGGGGAGGCAGGAGATTAACCGAAGTGCGTGTGGGGAGGGAGTGGGTGCGAGCACTGGCATGTTGTGGAGAGCTGGGCGCTCGGGAGCGACGCTGTGCGTGGGAATCCTCTGTCTTACGCTCTGGAGTTAGGTTGTGGGTAGCTTGGCACGGTACTGTTTTCCTAGGGAATTCATTGATGATCCGCTCAGCTGTCAGTTGCACAGACAAGAACAGTAACTCTGGGTCCCTGTGTTGGATAAAGCTGTTCCAGCAGCCACGTCCTGCCCTGCTCTGACTGATCTGCCTCGTCAGATCGGGCTGAGCGAGGAAAGGGGGATGTCTTTTGCATTGTGGTTTTGGTACAAAGTGCAGAGATAGGAGAATACTCCGCTGCTTTTGTTTGAAGAAAACAAGTTGCTTAATGTTCACCCTGATGCTGACTCAAGTAGAATACGCTGCGATTGCCGTGTTGTCAGCTGGCACTGGGGCTGACTTGCAGTGCTGGTTGTTCTGGCAGTAAACAGAAGTAAAAAGCAGGTGGAAAATTATCTCAGTCTGTATCTGATGTAATTTAGCCATTAGCGTTTACAAAAGAAGGATTTTTTTTTTGTTTCAATATGTAGTTTGTGCTAGCCTGGCAATGAAATCCCTTTCTAGTTTGGAAATACTCTTATCACGGCGTGCTCTAATGTTGGCAAGGTGAGCTGCTACAACAGAAACGTGAGCGGCTGGAAGGCAGCGCCGTG